CTCTCTGAGGCCTACTCGTCATCAATGATTGCATTTTACCCTCAGACTGCTCTATTCTAGGGGTGAGATTCAATATACTGGCAAACTTGCTCATAGATTGATTGACACTAGTATTTACCAGTTTCAGGATATCATCAAACTTTGGCTCGATACCCTCATCCTCCATACGGGAGCTTATCTTCACCCACTTCCTTTGCAGTCGAGTAGGTAGACGTCTTGCTATTACTTCTAGTATAAAACTCGAGTTGAGGTCACTCATGCGATTCATCGAAATCATTGCATTCTTGTAAATTAGCAAATTATCTAAAAACTCAGTGAGTGCCTGGGAGTCATCCTGTAATTGACCACCATTACCCTTAACAGCCTCGAATAATTTCCCTGCAATCATCGAAGGTCTTCCAAACCTTTGACGTAATATGCTCATAGCCTCGTAGTAGCCCTCTTTTGGCTTCATAAACTTACAGCACTGTATAGCTCTTGCAGCATCTCCAGTGCAATATCTCATCAAATACATTAACTTCAATTCATCACTTAATAGAAAACTACTCAACATGATCTCAAACTCCTTTACAAATTGTAAATAATCAGCCGGGTTTCCATCAAAACACCGTGGTTCTAATTTAGGGAGTTTGATGTTCCTATTATCCCTGAACGGCGAAACAGTAACATCAACCATGTCATGCTTAACATCAGACACATCGTTACAATTAACAGACAAGTCACCATGACTTACTTTCCTGTTTGCATCCAAGACGCTCTGTCCCTTCTTTGACCCAGGCATTGTTGAACTTGACCCAATTCCAAAAAAGTTCCAGATATTGCTTGTTCAAAGAGGACTTGACCGGCACCAGGAAAGATGAACTGTGACTATCCGAATTCGTGCTGTCAGAAACTGTCAGCCACGTCTCATAAACCGTCAATGCCCAGCTCTTGCTACGCTCGGGCTCACGCTGTTCCTTGCAGTTTTTCAGAAACGCTTTGTAATAGCGGACGCAAAAACCAAAACACCGATTGGCCGCTTGAGATTTCTTTATTGTTACACCAACATATAAAAATAATAACTGAACTAAGGTCTGTGAACAAATATTACAATAATAAATCATAGTATTACTTCTGACGATGTTTCACTCTTCTTTCTGAACAGCGACCGATGAGACGATGACTGTCGTATTGATGCCTCCGCGAAAATTGGGGAAGTTGATTTTGAGCAAACAACCATGAATTGATCGTTCAATCTTCAACTCCATTGACAGTTATCATTTATCATCTGGCTTTTTGTTATTCTGTTTGTGTCCGGACGACTTCCACTTGGATCATCAACCTGAGAAGGAATGTAGGCGTACTGCTGTAAGTCCTACAGTTCTTCAAGGGTAGTTTTTCATGCCGTAATACACAACATTTGATGTGTTGATTGTACATATGTTTGTGTTTAATAGTTGTGTGAGTTCCAATTATTGTAATTGTTGGTTAATCTTGTTTGTGTCCGGACATTCCACAACTTACAATCGTCAACCTGAGAAGTTTGCTGGCGTACTGATGTAAGCCCTGCGATTCTTCAAGCGAATTACATGGAAACACGAACTGCGATTTTGTTTGCACTGTTTGTATATTCGTGTGGTGTGTCATATCAATTGGTGTATTTTGGATTAATTGTGTCTACTCGTTGTCTTCGTACCTTGTTGTTATTGCGTAATTTTGTTAAAATTTTCGTCGCGATTACTTCTGAAGTTGTTTCGAGTCTTCTACATCCATGAATGAATTGATTGATGTTAAGGACAGCAGATGGGGCGTATACGCCGGGGAGGCTAAGCTATTGCTGAGAATGAAACGCACACGGAGATAATTGTTAGCTGTGGTCCCACACGCCGGGGAGAAAGAGTGTAAACGACTGAGGCTCGCATGCGTCACCGCTACTAGAACTGAGGCAGAATGAGTGACAAGCGATTTCAGTGGTAATTGGTAGTGAGTAGATAAGAGGATGTGCGTAGAGTATCATGAGTTGGTGCTATGTTCACGTTGCATTCTGCAAGAGTCATTCTAGCAAGTGGCGGTTGTGTTGCAACATGTCAAGAGGAGGTCTCTGTCTGGAGGCGCAGGTCGTCAGCGATGTGTGAGATTGTGCTGTGGGTATGCTTGTGGTGTGTTGGCTTTTCTGTTTGTTTTCCATTTCAGCTCTGTCCGTGTGACCCAGGTTCTCGCAATGGCATCCAAGTCAACGTGCATTGGTCGTGAAGGAAAAAAGGGTTGGATCCCATTTTTGCCGGGGAGTGTCAATGGAGTTGAAGATTGAACGATCAATTCATTGTTGTTTGCTCAAAATCAACTTCCCCAATTTTCGCAGTGGCATCAATACGACAGTCATCGTCTCATCGGTCGCTGTTCAGAAAGAAGTCAGCAGTAAACCATCAGAAATTTTAATAGAAATATTTTTTATATGTTGGTGTTACAATAAAGAATTCCCAAGCGGCCAATCGGTGTTTTGGTTTTTGCGTCCGTTATTACTAAGCGTTTCTGAAAAACTGCAAGGAACAGCGTGGGCCCGAGCGTAGCAAGAGCTGGGCATTGACGGTTTAGGAGACGTGACTTACTTAGTAACTTGCATCTAGAAATGCCTTTATTCGTTCAAGTCAATTGAACAATTACTCTTTGGTTTACACTTGTCTTATCCTTACTAAACTAACCAATATCTTTCGTCTTTTCAAATCCACTAATACTATTAGAGTCATTGCAAAAGATACTTGGGTTGATGGGAAACTTTCTCATTGTGGATGACAACACCAATGGAGACTGTGTCGATTTTGGAGAATATAGTCGCGCGAATCACGGAATCCAACGAACAAGTAGAAGGAATCTATGTACAAATACCCTATTAGCACGGGCAGACAAACCAGTAGGCATGCCATCAAGCCGCTCGGAAGAGTTTTTCACCCGAAAGGGAACCATCGAGTTTTTTTACTTCCGGCTGTTTCTGTCTTAGGGTCCTCACCACCCCACTAGCGGGGGAGTTAGCTGTAGCGGTAAATAATTCCCCAAAATTATTGACCACACCAATCACTGAATATTGGATGCTGACCACCACTGTTTAAGTCAACTTATCTAGCTGAAGGTTTCCGGTCAAGCATCCCCACCATTTGGTACCCCGTCGTGTCACGTGCACGATCACTAGCTATCTAAGCGTTCGTCTGACGGCTTGTTTTGGTCCCTAAATATATCCCGTAGTTTGGACGATCGAACATTGGCTTTTGCTTTGTTGCTGGTACGCGAGAACTAATAAATTAGAGGCGGTGTAAGAGAATTCCGTCAACCTCTAAATGACCATCAGGCAAACTTTCCAACACCTTTGAAACAACTTGAATTAGGGCTACTGATCTATTAATTATTACATCTTACCTATCCCCGTTCCCAAAAAATCAGCATAGAACCAATATCTTCTCTTCATTATGCTATTTGTCTGAACCCTAACGAGTGCTGAATCAGGTCACGTAAGGGCTACAGAGAGGTCAGATATCACTGAAACCTGGGGATATTCCCGAGCCGCGTTTAAGTCGTTTCCTTAGGATCACTGTGAGGCTAACTTTGAATGTTTCTATGAAGTTACTCCTGGCTGTTCAAAGAAACAACTACCTTGTCTTTTGAATGAGATGCCTATCATACTGCTTAACCTTATGTCGGAGGTGGAACTGAATGTTTTGGGCATTTCAGTACTAGCGAGACACTGATAAATCGGACTTCTAAGGTTTTGTTTCCCATGTGAATTCTTTGGATTCGTAAGAACCCGATGGCGAGGTTTGCTTGAAATTACTTTCTGTCGCTCAGCATCCTTGTGTTGCGATATGTTTCCGAGTGTTACATGTACTTCATGGTCAGTCTGCTTCCTGGATAATCGAGTTTGGCCTAATTAGTTCTATGTGTCTCATCTTAACTACGAAGAATCCTCCCTTGGAATTAAGATGACTAGAGGGTTTTTGGTTGAGATCACCTTATGGACAATCCTCTTTACCATTTGTGAATTTAAAGCAGTAAGTCGTACTACTCGATGTGTGGGCCATGTGGCACCTGGAGATTTTCCCATTATGATGTGGCGAGGTATGCCAGAATACAGGCAAGGTCACGTAGCATATCCCTCTAAAATATGAGAATGACCAGGCCAAACGGCCTTGATAACTACCGAGAAGGATTTATTCCGAATGTTTTCTGTTAGTAAATAATTCCCAGTCAGTATATAATCCAGTTTTGATGACTTTCTGCCATTATTCCGCATAATGTAATCCTTTACTTTCTGAGTGAGACCAACACTTCTGATGCTGTATGACAGAATTCTGTTGAAAGCACCTTGATCAAAAACTGACCCCAGGTTGAGGGGTGGGGAGTTAAACTCTGCAGTATAATGATTTTGTAACAGCACAGGTTTTAGCCTTGAGAAGTAACTGGCTGTTTTCTGGCTGGAGGTAGTCGATATACTTTATCCAATCGATGCATTGTGTAGCAGGCGTTGAATAAATACTGTATCGAGCTTGGGAGCTCAGTCGGAGGTCAGGTATCTCTATCTTTGCTGTGTTCACTGGAAAGCCGGTCTCCGCTAACTTCCCTAGGTCCTATCGGTTATCTCCTGTATATCTCTCAGTCATGCGAGTGATTAGCCTACGATTGATTTAGAGTGTGTTTTGTGAAGACTTCCTAGCTATTTGAAGCTATAATAGTGGCACAAAATATATTTCCACTGGCGAGAAATACGCTACATATAGTTGAGTACCTACATGATACCCGATATTCAATTTTGCTGGCTTTATAAGTGCATTTGTACCTCGCCAGATCATGATAAATGTGAAAAACATTTAATCTTGTGCGATTATGTCAAATGTGAATATTTCCAAAGTTGTTATAGTGACTCAATATGTGTCCAATCATTGTACTCTAGGTCATTTATGGGAGCCTCCTATGAATTTTTCAAATGTCGTGATTTTTGGTATTGACACCTGTTGTATGAAAACTGATGCGTTATGTCAAGGAATAATACCAAAAGTACGAGAATTTCAATAAATTATTTTTTCAATCAGATCATAGATTTGTTCAGTATATGACTCCAAATCTGTTGATGAAAAAGACTAAATCGGAAGAACCAGTGCGTGTTTTCGCTGTCAACCTTTCTGGCAAGAATAGTGACTACAAAATTGAAATTATTGAAAACTTGGAACAGTTTTCGGAATTAAAACAGCTGAATTTATCGTATAATCGTATCTACAAAATTAGTGGATTATCAAGTTTGTGCCACCTCACCTCGTTGAATATTTCACATAATTGCATCAAATCTCTGGATGGGATTCAGTTTTTGTCTAATTTGTTGGTACGTTGGAATATTATCAGTTCATTTTGAAGGTACTGAAAGCTAACGATAATCAAATAACATCGGTCCCAAAATGGCTGTGCAAACGGCTTCCAAAATTGAAGACTATCCATCTGCACTGCAATCAAATCGACTCCGTAAGTTTGTTTATCTTCGTTTAATTCTATCAGCTTTATAAATAAGGTGATTCACCTCACTTTCTAGTTACTTGAATAGGTTTATCACTAATGAGTTTCAGCTTCGTCATATTGTGTGGACCTGTTTTCCCACTGTGAGAACTTCACTAATTATTAATTTTCTGTGACTAACAGATGCGCCTTCACTTATCACGTTCTGTACGCAGTATTGGCGGCATTAGTAACCTAATACATTTTCTGGACTGCTCTACTTGTCATCTCTCTTGACATACATGTCCTTAAAGATTTATTTTTAAATTAACGTAGTGCATATGAATGTACGTGCACCGAACTGTTATTTATTCAAGTGCACAATAGTTTTTCCTCGCTTACTCAAATAATTATTTCTATAACTTGAAACTTTCGGTTTTTCAATCAAGTTGGTATGTTTTATTTAAGTGTTTCCTTGTATATCCATTAAAAATTCTGGAGTGGATTAAGAGATGTTTCTTAGTTGTCTCAATCTAGAAAACAGTCCTGTAAGATGTGTAACTGTGTTCATATCTGTTTCAAGCCGAATATGTAATCCAGTGACGCCTGAAATACTAGACTAAGTTATCTCTCAGGTCCACTTTCTTCAAAACTTCTGATTTCCCCATGAAATATTCACTCACTGTGTTATTTGATCAGTGGTACTTGTCTTGTGTGTATATACACTTTTTTACATTTAAAATCCAAGTGATGGACCATGCATGTGATCGGGAGTAATGATTGATGACGACAGACCTTATAAACACATTGAAGTCAGTTAAAAGAAGTGACGGATGAACAAAAAGGGTTTTCCAAAACGCAACAGGTGTTGGCTGTCCTTAATGGTTGAATCCATTAGAAACATGAAGGTCTCGCTATTTAATCTGTAGATTGTTTGATATGTGTAACTGAGTATACCAAATCTAAAAAGCTATAGTATCCACTTCATTTGATGAATTACTCAGGATATTCTCTAAAGTGGATGTGTATTAATTTAATGTATAAAAATTTGATTTGGAATAATAAAATACAGTGAAAAATTTGATCGAGCATTTCATTATTCTTCTCATGCATCTGATAACGAAGAAGATTCAAAAACCATTTCAGGCTTCTCCATACCCGTGTGACCCAAACGTAGGTTTTCTCTGTGTATTTTTGGATCCGAGGCTTTGCACTATCGATGATTTAAAATATTGACACCTTTTGAAAGCATACATTTGATTTCTACAAATTATATGTTTCAGAAATATATCTTTATGTTAATTCGCTTATAGCTGAATCTAAAATAGCTTTGTATTTTTAAAATGTCATTTACTTCTAACCCTATAGCTCCATCAAATAACATATATGCGATCTTTATCGAACTTAACAGTTTTCACATTCGAAGGCAACCCAGCAGTTGATCAACTCATAGTCAGTGCTTATAACAGTTGTAGCAGTGGTGATGAAGCCGTACTAAAGAATGCCATTGATAAATTCGATCCCAATTCAGTTTATCGAATCTTCGTTATATTTCATTTAAATTCACTCATATTGCTTGACAACAAGGAAGTTCTTCCATTTGAAAGACAAGTGGCTGAACAACGGTTTTCCCAAGGTAAGATGATGAAATCCATTAGTGTTATCAGTCGTAATTTCACAACAAGACTATAAAACATGACATAAATGTTTATTTTCATTCTTTCCAGTCGAAGTATCTAGGTATTTGGAGAAGTTGGATAAGTGCGAAAGTCGTTTGAATGAAGTAGAAAATACGAAATCTTCATTGGAAAAGGACTTACTTAACCATCAGTCTAAGTTAAATGAAGCTTTGCAGAAAAGGAATATGGAAGGCGAATTAATATCTCATTTAGAAGAAGAGTTGCGTGCCAAAGACAAAATAGTAAGTCGAATTTCTGTATAATTTCTGTTTGTAATTCTGTAAAATTTGTATGGTTAATAAAAACAAATAAGGGAACATTTTGGTTTTAGATTCCACTTAGTTTTGCTCCAAAGTTTTCTTTACCGTCTACTAGATTTGCAAACGAAAGCAACGCTTAAAGAATTTTCAGAACTTTTCCGAAAATAAGAAGGCTTCTCCACATTGAAAGCATTCACTGATAAGGACGAATTAGTTTTTAATAATCAATCTATCACATAGGACGTAAAAAATCATATTTAAATAACCACTACAAATTCAGTGTTCCTGCAAATTGCTTATCTAAATATATATATATATATATATATATATATATATATATATATATGCAATTAGTACAGTGGGGTACCAGAAAATCTATATTTTTTATCTTAGCAGTTGTTAAATCATTATTTAAAATATTTTTCGCTTATGTATCATATTTCATAGTATAACCGTGATTAACAGGTAGAAGTTTCCGAACCTGTTGTATCTGGCGTATGGTTAAACTCTTTAAAAGAATATATTACAGTATTTTGTTACTATTTATCACCTTTCCTCTATATGCAACAACAATCAAACCTTAACTAGCATTCTAAGAATAATGCGTGATAGAGTTTTCTGTCGAATTGCTGAGTACTCCACACTTATTGGTAACAAAATTTCTTTAAACTTGAAATATTGCTTCGATATAAAACGCATCATGATCGCCATATGATTTGTGTATGATTTCATCCATTTCGTCGGCGAAGTTAGTAAACTTAAAGTTGTGTAGATGTTTTCTGACTACTTATGAATAGGTCATTCGAGTGATAAAGAATCATTTTTTGGAGACAGTGTGCTGAAATAAGTTTCTACTTTAATGTTAGCACAAACTTTTATCAGCATTTATAGTGGTTTAAATGTCCTGCTAAGGAGCGGAGGTGTGTGTGTGGCTCAGCCTAGAAGTTAATGAGAGATTCCTGTGTTTTAATGACATAGGTAGGTGCTTTTGAAGTTTGACAAGAAAATCCATGGAATAATCTCACACATGCTAATTACGTTTTTGCTATTTTAATGGATTACTTTATGTTAAAATATATCATTTGCCCTTGTAGGACACTTTAAAAACATGTACATTTTTGTTAATTCAGAATATTTCATTTATGTCACTTAAAAAAGATAAGGAGTATATTTATCCATCTGAATCAATGTTACACTAGTGTCAGAATTTCTGATTAATAAACACTTCGTACATAATTTAAAACTACTACACTGCATAAAGCAGTTGACAAGCATTTCTGAGAGTAATAACTTTTGTGCAATTAATTAAAATTGTGTATTTTATATCTATTTTTTATTCTATGGGCGTTATAAATCATATGTAAGACAGGTTAGTAGTATGAATTATTTATTTAGTCTGATGACTATAGCAAGGTGGGAAAGACAATTAGTTATTCAAATATTTGTCAGTCCTACATCTTTACAATATTTCTTTCGAACTCTCTGGCATTCCACTTTATTTTAGTAATTAGAATAGTTATATATATATATATATATATATATATATATATATATATATATATATAGAGAGAGAGAGAGAGAGAGAGAGTAATCTCTGTGGATTAAACCGAGTTCTCAACGTAGAATTTCACACTAAAGTTCAGCATTTTAAGTTATCGCATTCCAAAGTAGCAAAAATGAAGCTAGGTAAAAAGGAAGTGCTGGAAATCTATAGTAAACGGGATTGTATGGGAGATGGCATAATTGTACGAATAATAATGAGAACTCAGTAGATCTGGGAAATCACAGAGAGTGAATACATATTTATCATTGAGAGTGATTTCTAGCCTCAGTTTGTCTTATTTGCAGTATGCTTGGTTGGTGTGATTTGAGCTAAATAGTTACAGTAAATACTGAAACAGTTCAGTCAAGTAATAGCTGGTGGTATGTTTTTAATCTAGGTACTTAAATGTCTGAGAATTTTATGTCTGTTATTTTTGTCTGCTTATGCTCCTTAAGGACACCTCAAAAAATGTAAGTAGTGTAGATCCTAAACTGTCCATTTTGTTTTCTTTTTTCCTCTCATTTTGTAACCAATTATGTCCGTTAATTTTCCTTACATAAATTATTATGTATGTAGACGTAATTTTGGTAACTGGCTTAAAATGTAGTTGTTTAATGGGTGGGACAAAAGTCACATCTATTTTTACCCTATTAGGTCACTAAGTATTTTAAGGCTGTTTAAATTTTCACACTGTTGATTGCATTATTTCAGTATTTTTGTTTATGCTACTACAACTGTTTAACATTGGCTCTACATATTTTACAATTTCCCATAGCTTCATTTCAAATCACAAGAACTAGCTCGTGCCTGCTTAAAACATTTTGAATTGGAACAAGAATTAGCTTTTCATAAAATCGATGAGAAGTTGGGTTTAGCTGATTTATGTCTTCCGAAACTAAACAATTCATCTAACATATATCAAGTAAGTTTTTCGTCTATTTATGCGTTGTATAAATACATTTTTAGTGGATTTGACATGATATTATTCCAGCTTTTTACTATTAGAGTAGAAATAATGAATTAACCATGTATTCTACATGTTTTCAGTTATCTAAGTAAACTAATGTGCTTACAGAACTGTAAATTTCAACTTTTGCTGATTTTTATCGTTTTCAAGTATTGGTTTTGTAGGGATTTTGTTTGATTGCATGGACGATTTCTTCATGAGCTGACATCAGTTAGAGAACCACTGGAAAACCTGGGAGTACTGGACAGCCAGCTGTTTCTTCCTAGTTTGGGACTCTTCAGAAGTATGCATCCATTTGAACCCAGGACCTTCTGGTTACAAGACGAGCCAGCTCGTAGACCATTGAGCTACTGGGACCCGATCCAATGGTCCTTGAATTCCAACTTCTGCCAATTCACGGCATAGCGCGACTATTTCGCAATGTCTCCTTCGATGAGTTATGGCCTCATCTTCGACTTGCTGTACCCTACTGGCCACGGCTTCCCACTAGAACAACAGGTTAACTGCCTGAATAGAGCCATTCCTCTAGTGGTTCTGTAACTGATGTCAGCTCATGAAGAAATCATCCATGTTTTATTTAAGCATTTGTCAGAAGGAAAAAAACGCTATCACTTTAGTGTGTTTTATAAGAAGTAAGCTAACTATTGATTTGTGTTACGTTAACTATGTTAAATGTATTTGATCTGATTAATACTGAAGATGAGCAGAAGAGACTAACAATCAAATGATATAATCACCTATAAAATCTCATGGCAGACAACAGTCAGATTAATCGAAGATCTACAACTTTAAGGCGGCCTGCTTAAATCACTGGGCTACCAGAATTTCCAACCATCAAAATGCTTGTTTTAATCGTACGCTTATATAAGATGAGCAGTACATGAACTAGCGCGCATATTTAATTAGTTTCCCAAAATGCACTATGCAATTTTCGAAGCAGTTGAAGAAATGTACAGACTTGGTTCTCTCCTTATATGCAGCAGCACCGCGACAAATGATGTACTTCAGATTATTGCTTTTTATATAAATTCTGTATGGAGAGGAAATATTTTAGAATTAAATACAGCGAAAATTTCTGTGATCTATGTTCACATATTGTCTGAAATAAAACTTTATTATTATTATTATTGAAATCATGCAATGCAAATATTTGCAGTGATATCGTTTCAGCAGTTAATGTGAGAATCATCACTATTATTAGTATTATTACCTTGCTGAACAGGTGTATTACATTTAAAAACAACCAGCTCGAAATATATCCCCCGTTATTTATTTCATGTAGATCTATACTTTTTTGTAATATGGCTTATTATTTCTGTCTGGTTGGTTATCTAAGTCTGATATGAAAACAATTGACCAAAACTAACGTGAAATAATGATTTAATTTTCATCATTATAACGATGTGAATTCACCGGTTGAATAGTAATCTTTGATATTTATCTCTTAAATTTCTACTCCATGCCATCAATAATTATTCAATTACCTTGTTAACATGAAAAAAATACTTTGGAATTATTTTTATTTTGTGTATAATTTCGTGACCAATAATAATAAAGAGGACAGTACAAAGTATTTTGTATCTTACATCTAATAATAATAATAATAATAATAATAATAAAAATAGCTTTATTTTAGACAATATGAGAACATGTGGTACAAAAATTTAGCTGTACAATACTTTTTTCTCCATACAGGATTTACGTGTAAAGTAGTAATCCGAAGTATACCTTCATTTCGTTGAAGAATTGCACAGTGTATACTTGGAAACAAGTTAAATCAGCGCGGAAGTTCATGCATAGGTCATTTGATATAACTGAACCACTAAAACAATGATAAGTCCAGATGAAATTAATCATTTTGGTGTAAAGCATCTCCGGTAGGCCAGTGATTTAAGCAGGCCGCCTTATTTGGTCTTTTTCATATTATTGTTGTTATTAGGCGCCATTGTGAAGCATTATATTTTAGTGTGATGCTTTGCAGTTTACCTTACTTCTGTTAACTCTTCTGGGAGTTGGATATCGGTGGTAGACTTCTTTGTTATTCAATATTTCCCAGTCACCATTTCATCTGTGGCTGTGGGAAATAAAACTTCCATGTGCGCTCCTGTCTACTTTTGAATATTCTTTTATTAGTGCGTAATCATTTAATCATTTGGTCATTTTTACTGTTATGTCTGATGGAAGTGGAGAAGAAATTCACTGACAATTTTTCAAACAGAAGTGTTAAAATAACTTTTTATTTTGTAGTTCTCATGCAGTTTGTATATTTCAATGCAATAAGGCAGTTAGATATGAGTAATAAATGATGCTCTAACGTTGTGAGACTTTATCAAAATAAATTTTACCCAAAATGGAATTATACTCTACCACAGTGCACAAGTCCTATTCTTATATCAGGGCAGTTCGGGAATTATATGTAAGGCCTCAAACTTATTTTAGATGTGTGTGTGTGTGTGTGTGTAGCTACTAGCCATCGCGGTGATAAACGTGTTCTCTTGTTAAATAAATAGTACTATGCACTTCAATTTCTATCATTTCATTGAGTGATTGTTGGGGAGTAACCAGTTGCATATTGTTCAGTGTTTAGTGCTGACAGAATCCTATCAGTGAATTTTACAATGCAATTAGTTATCTAGCAGCTACTGTACTTATTTGTGCTTCATAAAAGAAGAGTAGATACAAGAAATCTTACCTAATTGAGTGTTAAATTGAATTTTAGATTTTCCCGTCGATTAATCTGACCGAAGTGCTCTGTCTCAGGTTGACATGTCGGCTTCTTGTGCAGATGCTTCGACAATGTCTGAGCATTTAATTTGTGGATCATGACTAGCAGTGGAATCCAGGATGCGCGTTGCGTCCTATTTGGGATTCGTCACCTGGATGTACCTGCATTTCCCAGTGAGTGATGATGTTCCCACCGAGGCTCAAACCCAGTGACCATAGTTTCAGTCGACGGTAAAGTCTAAAATTCAGTTAAATTAATATAACCCGTTGCACAAGAGGTGGCTCTCGTGACCCAAGTGGTCCAGTGGATAACGCTTTGGCGTTTGAAACTATGGTCACTGGGTTCGAGTCTCGGTCGGAACATCATCACTCATTGGGAAATGCAGGTACATCCAGATGACGAGTCCCAAATAGGACGAAATGCGCATCCTGGATTCCACTGCTAGTCACCATGCACAAATTAAATTCTAATTGAGTGTTAATCTAAAGACCAATTTGTTGCCTCATATGAAAGTGAATAATCTCAAAATATGTCGATATTTTAACTTTGAAATTCCAAGAATAATACCATATATAGTGCTTACCTCTTATGTTAATTTTGATTCCATTGAAATAAACAGTGTGCTTTTTCAAATAACATATTGGATGGTCTTACTGAAACTGAATATGACTCTTTTTTCCAATGAAGTATAACTCTGCTAACGGGATGATGATGTCATAATTCCCTTTTGTCAACATCTAATCTGTTTCAGTCGGGAAAATTCTCTTTTGCGATGATTTCATTTTCACAGCTGCACAGTGTACAGTATATATGAATCTCTTCTAATATCTCATTGCGAAATATTGAAACTAATCTGTATGAGGATTTAGTGGTGGAATGCTCGCCAAATATGCAAATGATCTGGAACTGATTCCCAGTCAACGCATTCCTAAACCTCTCCTGCCCATCAGTAGTTGTGTGGGTAGAGAAGGAACGTTAGATGTGAGGCTAGTAACCTCACCCCGTGAGAACAATAACAGTGCAACTACTGAAACTTCAAACCTCAAGCTTGAAGCCTTATGTTCCATTCAGAACTCAGAAGAATGAAAAAAATATATGTATGAATCAGTTGTTAATAGTTTGTTCTACCGGGCAATCCCTATTATAATATTTTGTCTTTCTTAAAGGCAACAATTTAGTTCAGATTAGCGAGTTGGTGAATCCTTATTAGAGTTTTCTAAAAGTTTAGATGTACTGATGTGATGACAGGACAGTTTGTAAAAAATTCCATTTTTCTGCTGATTGCTGTAAAACGACCTTCGGCACATAAACAAAAATGCATCTGTTTCTAGACTTAATTATTTCTTTATTTAATGCTTACAGTATTTCCAACCTATTCTCTTTCTAATGCATATATTGTCACTAACATGTGCCTATATTTTTATCTTATCTGGGTTTGCCGTATTTTCCTTCCCACAGATCGATAAAACCTGAGTGTCTACCATTTTATTCTCTGTAATCTAATTGGCTAATAATATTAGGCTTCAGTACTTTCATTATGACTCATCTTGTTTTTCTCCTGTCTGTGTCCATTAGACAATCCATATGCGAAACGCGTTTGTCAGGCCCATTAAATTCACCAATTTTGCTTTTTTGTTTTAAAGACACGTTATATTCCACAAAGAGAATGAGGTTTCTACTGGAAGATATCAGTTTTTTTTACAGCTTTACTAATATAAGCAAAATCTCTGTTTTGGTACTGCTTGTAAAAACGTCATGAAGTGAATAACTCTCTCTGTACATTTTTTCTCGTTAACATAATGTACAGTAGTTATGTTGGTGAACTTCACTTTCATTCTGCTTCATTTATGTCCCACCTGAGTAACTGGTTAGTATCACACAAATTTTCAGACAAATTATGACTCATAGTCTACTGCGTGAAAAACAGTTTCATTGCTATCATATCAACGGGAAACTTGAGCGTATAAAGCTAAGAGAACTACGACTTTTCATATTGCCCATTATAGTCCGTGAAATATTTTATACAAAGATCATGAAGGTTGTTTGTGAGCGGTATATCAGAGTGATGTGTACGAAGTGTAGCAGTCAGGAAACACCTTATATTTTCTAAAGACTGTCTTTATGCAGTTTTTTTTATGTTGCTGTCTTGAGCTACATATTACTGGTTAGGACATGTGTTACGTACGTCCAGCCTTCGCCTTCTTTCACAGCCAATGTTAACTGACATAGGGTCATATTGGAGAAAAGTTACAGTAGAGATGGTCAAATCAAAACCTGTTGTCAGTCAATGAAATCTTTGACAGTTGAGACACGTAGGCTTGGTGTAGTTCGCTTAGTTGGGGTCCTTGGGATGCTAAGAACCAACGCCTGGAGACATTTAGTGATATGGTTCAAAATCGTTCTCAATGGCTCAGATGCTCTCTCTCTCCCGTATTGTTTTTCCAATTTACTAATCTTTCTCCCTCACATTTCTGCTTATTATCGTTCTTTTGAGTCTCTTCTTTCTCTGTTTTGTCTACCTTCGTGTGGTAACTCGAACTGCCGCAATTCTGTGTAAAGTTCTGTCTTGAAACCAGTCTGTCTGTCAGTCAGTCAGTCAAACTGTTACAAAAGTAAACTACATAATATTATGCTTAGATAATTTACACTTTTGATAGTTTTATGACTGAATCCATTAGATAACGAACTAATAAAGTACAAATGTAAAAAGTAACTGTACTTAATAATTCAACGAATAAAGTTATAACACTTACCAAATTGTTTGCTTATGGTTTACAAACGACATATTCTTTTTATTATTGATAACCATGTCAATTTAATTATGCTTGATATCACACAAAATCGAAGACTTACAAGCGAAAACCGACAAACTGGTCGAAGAAGCAGCCGGCGAAGACAGGACTCCATGTGAACATAGACAAGACGAAGGTTATGAAAATAACCAACTGACAACAACAACAACAACAGCAGAAACATCCAGCGTCAATCACCAACAACGGGAGGGATTTGAAAGAGGTTAGTTAGTCCATTCACTTATCTAGGGAGCATTGTCTCAACTACAGACAGTCGGGACGGACGAGGATGTCAAATCGAGTGAGAATCGGGAAAGCAGGCGAGAAACACATTCATCAACCAACTGAAACCAATCTGGAAATCTTCGTCACTCAGCCAGAATCAACAACAAAATTCGGTCGGATTTTCAATACAAACATCAAGTCAGTCAGTTCTTCTATACGGATCAGAAACTTGGCGGGCGGGTCACAAAGAATATTTCCAACAGTCTGTTGCAGACCTTTATCAACCAACAACTGTCTTCTCTGGACCTATACTGAAGATCAGATGGCCGGGCTGGGCTGGAAAGAATCACCAACAAGAAACAATGGCTGGGGACAAACAAAACAAGAACCAATCGCCAATCAACAAATATGCAGGAGAAAGTGGAGTGATGGATTGGACACTCGTGGCTGAGGAGGCCGGTTGGTGACATCGCGCGCGCGTCAGGCCATTGCTCGAGTGGAACCAGGCCGAAAGGGAAGCGGCGAGTGGGACGTCCGAGGGTGACATGGAGGAGATCGTGTGAAGAGGAGCTGAAACAGTATGGGCTAACATGGATTCAGATGAAAAGTACAGCAGAAGTGGCAAGTGGAGACGTGCAGTTGAAGTCCTATGTTCCACTAAGAACCTAAGGGAACAATAATAAAAAAAAATAAATGTTAATTTGAGGCTGTGTTCACACCGATGATTTAACTTTTGAACTCTTTTTGTGATGCTCTATCTAAGGAAAGTAATCAGAGCATTTAACGTTTGTGTGAATTCACTATGCAAGCGTACCACCCATAGTCATCACAAAATTAACACGTAACAAAAAATCCAAATGCCCGTAATTTCTATAAAACCATAAAGGTTACTCCCTAGCTGATAGTTAACCTGATATTATCTTGGATAGTTCCTTCCAACTTTTTCTTTTACTTCCTTTACAATTATCCGTTTATCATTCAATTTTATACAGACTCTATGAATTTATGAGAAAAAAACAAAACTTGTGTTGTATGCTGATCAGATTTGGTTTATGTAGTTCATCTATGATTCTCTTACTCTAAGTGGATAAAGTAACTGATGGAGTGGTTTTCAAAATCAACTCTATATGTGTAGGAAAATGCTGCATGTATAACGAATATAACAACATAGTTAACTATGCTGGGGTAGAAATAATATTTTTTTCGAATTAGGTAAGGTAAAAGATCACCTAGTGAATCATCGTCAGACTGAATAATATTTCCGGTAGGAATAAATGATAGATGTCGCTTTAAGGATCATAATACTGCTTAATTTCAGCATTCACTGACCCAAATATAGTATAGTGTTTGGTTGAGATAAGAGTAAATTGACATTAAGACTATGTAGGACAATAGAAGGATTCGGCAGCATAGTTGACAGAGAACTGAGTGAGCCTCAGGTTCGAATCCTGTTGCAGCTCAGGCTTTCAAATACACTCCCGATCATCACCTATCACAACAAGACAAATTCTTATTTCAAGGGTTTATTTTAAAATGTTTAATTTATTCAGATCCCTGGTAAGGGTCATGGATGCTTACTAACAAAGAGTCCCAAGCTAGGACGAAACAATCATCCATTACTCTTTAGTTTTCAATGGGTTCTTTATCTTACTTCAGTCAGTTCGTGATCAGAATTAAAATTGTCATTTAGTATTCCTAGTTGAATTCTTTATAGGCATGAGTTTGTCATTGTTTGTATGAGAAAAGATAACGTTTACCATTTTTGCCCACATATTTAAAAGATCATCTTCAAATTCAATTTTCCTTATGGGAGACCATATTTCACTTCATTGTGTAATTCGCACTTACAATCTATATAAAAGTACACTGATATTCATATGATACAAATGCGTTTGTGTTAGGGCTAATGCTGTCATTGTTTTTCCTTAGAAGGAAAAGATTTTTCATAGACACAGTGTGTACACGTGAGTTACAAGTGAATATAATGGTGCACATTTCACTTGAATAGTGCATTAACTTGACTTTCTTTTTAGTTTTTAACAATTAAACATGTTTATGTTTAGGAAATAAAATTCTTCGCATATATGTGGCATAAAAATTCTAATGGGAAACTATATTTTATTCTTATGTGAATACTTATGGAAATCAGAAGTGGAAGAAAATGAGATAAAATAAAACGGATTCAGTTTAGTAGTGTAAGCATAAAAACACATAAAGAAAGAATAATGTGTGTTTCCTCTATCAACCATAGTATTCAAGTGGAATATTGAGGTAAAAACAGAGTAGGTAGTTAGGTACTAGCTACATTTGTCTTCATGTAGACTTCGTATAAATCGACTTCTAACTGGGGGCGATATGCCTTAACATGGTAAGTGGCTGTTCGTTTTCATATCAAATTTACCTAATGTGAGAAAACGGTACTCTAATGCCATCCTGTTATATTATCTGTATCCTTTTGTAGTTTCCTATGAAATCACCTAAAATTTATTGTGTAATCAAATTTTTAGAGAAATATTATGTTTCTCAGTTTCACTAGGTCTTCATGTTTCTCTGTGTAATTGTCCTTGTTGCCGTACATTTCCATCCCATTATAGTCCTGAATTTTTTACCTCTATGTTTGCGTGCTATATGTAGTGTTGTGGCAACTTGAACCCTGGTACACTTCTCTGTGGAATCCTACGTTGAAAACTCAGTCAGTTATATATTGAAACGGTAGATGACGAAGACTTGGTAAAGGAATGTTTACTTGGAAATTGGTATCTCTGTATAGCCAAATTATGTAGACCTTATCTTCAGCGCAGCAGCATTTGGACAGATCTTCGTCTTGTGGTACTTCTGAACTTCATATTTCGTTTCTTTGTGTTCCTTTCACGTCTCCCATGTATCTCTACAACTCTGTATCGTTTGCCTTCTGTGACATTAACTGTATCTTCCTGTTATTTGATGTTACTTATGCCGATGAATGTCTCTTTATGTACTACTGATAAATCTTTTCAGTAGTACTCGTAGCATGTTTTGAAATTGTCATATTGTGAAAATAATGCATGCTTGCCCATGCATTGAAATCGTCAGATGAGTTAGTTCACTTAAAGCATAAGTGTCTGTCGTATCGTGTTCATTTTACGCTTGGCATTTATAGTTTAATATTACCAAATTACGTACATTTCTCTCTACACATATATCTTCTTTTTGTTGTTCTAAAGATTCAAGATACTGGTGATCAACCATACCTGGGTAAATGTATGTTTAGCTATAAACCAATCAACAGATCATCAGTCAGTCATCTAACCAGTAAACATTTATCTGAGGATTTTTCAACTTCGATAAAACAGCACAGATATTCACTTGATCAACTTGTACAAAGCAAAATGCATCCATCTGTAGATTACAATAATGTATGTGTTCCTCAAGATGATGATTTGAAGTCGAATAAACCAAAAAATGAAAATATTACACTTTTGTCTTCCACTCATGCTGTAAGTGTTATGACGACCTTTTTTCTCTTATTCTTAATTCATAGTATACACTTATTGTCAAATTTTTTTGTTACTATATAAGTGTTTGAAACTGTTTCATACTTATTATTATTTCCTTTAATTCCTAGAGGAGCACAGGGCTTCAGCTGCGCGCCTCCATTGCGTTCGGTTCTCTGCTAAAGTTTTCACCTGGCTTTAAGTTTATCTACATGCTTTCATCTCCTTTTCACATGACGTCCTCCAAGTCACCCTTGGACGACCAACTCGCAACTTCCGTTTCGGGTTCCACTCAAGGGCTTGTCTAGTAATATAACTTTAGGGTTTCCTCAGAGTGTGGCCAATAAAAGCGCTCCTTTGCTAGGAGTCGAACCCGGGCCGCCTGGGTGAGAGCCAGGAATCCTAACTTTGCAAATTTTGGTAGCTCAGTGATTTAGGCATGCCGTCGAATTTTTAAATTTATTTCTGTAAGTCCAACAATCAAATATAAGCTACAGAGATCAGTGCTTCATCTCAGAAAACAATTCACTTAGAATAATCACATCATAAACTGTATATTTTGTATACAGTGGAATTAAAGATTAAAAATGAATGAATTACCAGGGGAACTTTGTTCATCTTCCATTTTCCCTTGATCTGTTCGCAAATTCCACTGTTATTTTTGTGTTTAAATCAAATGTTTAGCAGGATTAGTAAAAATTCCTTAGTGTTAGGTGTTTCCAGGGTATCGGTGGGGAGCAGCGGACCTAGGTTTTGTTTTATTCAGCGCTTGCCAACATAACATACCATCAATCTTAAATGTACTGCTGCTCCATCGGGGACTCAGACCCCATGACGCCTTGTTTTGCAGTCGGAGATGTTACCATTGACTAATAGCTTTTTTTCCTACTTTAACTGGTTTCTTACTTTGTGTGTCTTGGGCTTCTACACACACGATTATCTCGTTATTTTAGTTTTTTTCATACAGTGGGTTTGTAAAAAGTTAAATATTAGAGTCTGATAGTACTCAAGTGAATTGTTAATTTATCATCTAGGTATTATTTCGTTCTTTCAAGGTTGAAAGATGATGGAAGGATTTCAGGATTACTAATCTGAACTGTAACAAGGTTGAAGAAAGTGTATTTCTGTATTTAGGGATTAAACGAAATAGCCACCGTGTGGTATACACCTGTCATTCATTAATCGGTCGATATTAGTAAGAATGATTTCTTCGATATATAACGAGAGTTAAAAAATGCTGGAGAATTCAATAGACTGTGAACATTTTTATGGTTTCTGTGGATAGTGCCAACACTCTAAAGTTCTTTCTGCAACACTAATCGCCAACACTTATTCTATGACCACTTTCCTTATTTAATGGTGAGACTTATTGTCCAGATATTCATTCTTAAAAGGGAATGGAAATGTCCTGTGGATAATAATAAGTAGTACTAAATACTGAGAAGCAGAACTACCAGTGAACATCGACCCCCCGGCGAAATCAGAAGTCCTGAATGAAATCAAGATGCTAAAAGCTGGAAAAGCAGCAGGACTAGATGGAATCCCAGCAGAAGCATTGAAAATGGACCCAGAGACAACAATGGACTTGATGACGCCATTGCTGGAGAAGGTGTGGAAGGAGGGCAAAGTACCCGAGGATTGGAAGAAGGAATACTTATTCAAACTACCAAAGAAAGGAGACTTAAGTCAATGCAAAAACTGGGGCGGAATTATGCTCCTGTCCATTCCAAGCAAAATACTAAGCCGGATCATCCTGGAGAGAATCAAACACGCCAACCTGGATGAAATACTTCGACTGGAACAAGCTGGATTCAGGAGAAACAAGTCATGTATTGATCAAATCGTCACTCTATGGATCATCATTGAACAAAGCTTGGAATGACAGTCACCTCTCTATCTCAACTTCATCGACTTTGAAAAGGCCTTCGACAGCGTCGATCGAGAGGTGATTTGGCAACTACTTCGCTACTACTATGGGGTGCCATCAACAATTATACATCTCATGCAGCAGTTATACGATAATGCTGCACTGCATGCCAAGTAATCCACAATGGGAAACTTACGGAAGCCTTCGAAGTGAGGACGGGAGTGAGGCAAGCTGGCTGCCTACTATCGCCAATGATTTTCCTGATTGCAGTAGATTGGATAATGCAGCAAACAGCGGGCAATGAGGAAACAGGCATAAATGGACTCAGACAAAAAACTTGGAGGATCTGGACTTCGCCGATGATATATGTCTGATTTCCCACAAACTGGAAGATATGCAAGTGAAAAGCAACAAGCTGGCAGAAGAAGCATCAGAGATAGGACTTCAAGTGAACACAGATAAAACAGGGGTGATGAAGGTTCCTGGCCAACAGCAAAAGCAACAACAAGACAACAATCAGCCAGCATAAATGGGAAGAACCTGAAAGAAACAACCTCCTTCACCTACCCACCTACCTGGGAAGCATCGTTTCAACTACAGGCGGATGGAACTGACGAGGATATCAAAGTCAGAATAGGAAAAGCAAGACAAGCTTTCATTACTCTCAAGTCTGTGTGGAGGTCAACAGCACTCAGCATCAAAAATAACATCCGGATTTTCAACTCCAATGTGAAGTCACTGCTACTAAACGGATCAGAGACTTGGCGCGTCATAAAGAGCATCTCTAACAAACTACAGACCTTCATTAACAGTTGCCTTCGCTCAATACTCAAGATCAGATGGCCGGCCAGAAAAGATCAGCAACAGAGATCTCTGGCAATGAACAAACCAACCGGGAACCGATTGTGAAACGAATATGCAGGAAGAAATGGAGATGGATTGGCCATACGCTGAGGAAACAAGCCATCAAGTGACATCACACGCCAGGCCATCGCTCGAGTGAAACCAGGCCGAAAGGGAAGCGGCGAGTTGGTCGTCAGTGCAAGGGTGACTTGGAAAAGGTCATGTGAAAAGGAGGTGAAAGCATGTGGGCAGACCTGGAGCGGGGATGAAAAAGTTGGCAGAAAACCGAAGGCAATGGAGACGCTCAGCTGAAACCCTATGTTCCTCTAGGAATTAAAGGATATAATAATATAATAGTAATAAATACCGAGGCAAAAAAAGACAACGCTCGTAGGAACTTTAGGTCCGATATGCATCTTAAACTATGCCTATCAGAAATGAAACACAGTAGCTCGAATTTCATGAATTTTACTAAAGATGGTAAAATATGTTTGTGAAGACATCATGGCTACTTATTAAAAATATCAGTAGTTATATGTGCCGAATACAAACATATAAGGGATGCTTGTATATAAATAAAAAGTGAGGGATGCTTGCAATGAAAATTAGTCAAAATAATGAAAGCTTATCTAAGCATAATAAAACTATGGATACGGAATGAATTATTTATTTTTTTTGTCCAAAAGTTTATCACATATTTTTTGTAGGAATAACCTCTCCTTAAAAATGGGCAATTCTTTTCGTCCTCTTCATCCAGTCCTACTCATGATCTAAATCCCTGCAATTCAATCATTTCTTTCAGTTATAGTGTGTAGGACAGCTTATTGCATATGCACATATACTCTATTAGTATTTCCTCAGTAGTAGTAAAGAAATGTGTTTTGTGTATGGTAATGATATAAGACTTTTATACTATTCTATTATTCCTATTTAATATCAATTGCTTACACTATTCAAACTAGTGGTTAAACTATATTTTCTTTCCAAAATATTTTCAATCCCATCAGATATCGCCAGTTAAAGTGAAACAAGAGTGTGGATATGAGTCTGGCAATGGCGAGGCTAATCACAGTAAGGCTTTTATTTAAAAAAATGTTATGCATTTTATATACACCACATGTTTTTATATTTCTTTGGAATTCATTTCTACACTTACTTTGGTTATAGTATGGGACTACCTGTCACAGCATAAGTGTTTTACCTTAGGAACCTGTGATTGCAATGAAAAGCACATGTATTCATTGAGAACATCTGCAGTATTTTACCCTTTGTATCTACGAATATAGAATTTGAAGTCGGTGTTAAAATTGACAATTTTCCGTCCTACGTTAACAAGTGGGTGCTTCGGTGTTACTGAAAATGCCGAATTCGCTGTTTGCAAGTTAGACAGTTCAAGGTGGGAATTTACCATAGTTCCCTACAAAGTTCCCTAAAGTACTCCAGATCAGACTCTATGATCCACTTGATGCCGTAAATGGCAATCTAAAAAGCAGGCGTAATCACATCATCATTTATATCACTTAGCAATATTAGTGGTTGGAAACCACTTGCTGTCAACCAGTACTGATGTTTTGTGCTCATGATTTGGCTATCTGAATTGAATCAAACCGAGTACACCACTAATGAGTTTTGTCTCAAACTAGCTTAATGGTTGTTCTGTGTTTAGGCCACTACATTCTGGGTGACAGGGACTACTCATGCCAATCGTTAGTATATGCCATCATTAAAATATATGAAACTTTAATTGACATACTTGATATTAAATAGGGAAGTACCTGTTGTTAACAGGATAGGTACGTAGATGTGAACTTTTCATGGACGTTCAGTGAATGGAATTCATTGTGGAGGAAGAAGATTTATGTAAAGAAAAGGTTCTCTTCACCGGAGGAAATAGTTGTTTTAATGAATTATTCAGATCATTAAATGAGATTTTTAAAAAGTTATGGCGTCTTAAATAGATTTCCCCTGAAATCACTGTTGTAACCAATATCATTCTTAAATTAATACGAATTCTGATTGTGCTACTTGGTATTAGTAAGTAGTGTGAATAGTTTCACGAAAACGTTTACACTTCTGTTATGCGCCATCACCTGACGACGAATGAGAGGCTATATTCGTTGCTACTGTATATCTGCTGATAATATCGACGTAGAAATTCCTTCTGTTAAAACTATTTAACGCATGGCTACCTGGATCTGAATTAATGGTAATCAGTTTCAGCACCCATCCTACTTCTTTAGGTTAAAGGACCCAGTTGACCCAGTTAGACAAAATAATACAATTTACAAAATACCCTGCGATTACTATGAGTGAAGTCAACTACATAGGTCATACTAGTAGGTCAGAGGTAGTCAGATTGTCAGAACATAAGAATTTAGCTAAGGTAAGAATGGTTGACGCTGAGAAGATACGTAATTTAGAAAAAAGCTCAGCAATTGCAATGCATGCATTAACACGCAAGCACACAATAGGGGGGAGAGGGTTAACATTCTAAAAAGTAATCTAGATAGGTGGAGAGAGAGGTTGATTACTGACTGAATCCTTGTTCATCGAGTCTACACCCAACATATGCAATAGGAATGACTCATCATTCATACGCGAAATATGGACAACACTACTACCAATCAAATCAAGCGATGAAAAATAATGGAATTATATAAATGAAGTTAGGAAGTCGTGTGATTACCTTGATATGGTTATGAGCAATAAATTGTGCTCGAAATGTGGTCATCAGTAAACATTACTGTATAACACTGTAAGACTTTATCAAAACACAATTTACCCATAATGGAATTACACTCTACCACAGTGCATAAGTTTTATTCTTATATCAAACTGTCAGACTATAGTATTGCTCGAAATATTACCAATAACAAAACTTATCATTGTGTGTAAACTATTGAAATATAATTATACTTTATTTGATCTAATCCACAATGCTCAAACTTTTCACTGATATAGTATTGTTGTTTACCAGTAATTATATGTTGAAGAATGCAGTTTCGCGTTGTTGATTCACCAGAACAGAATTCATCGGTTTCCCTAACACAAAAGCTTCTTATATGGGCGCTTCTGTATTGCCTTGAGTTTAGTTTTGACGTTGTATTTCTTTTAGTGATAAAATTCACTACTTACCATTGTCAAACAATCACTGTATAGTCAGTTGTACTAATTTATCTGTCACGATAGTGATTATTAGATTTAAAAAGATGTGAGGAACATTTCTAGATGTTGTTCAAAGTGAATATTTTCTCTTCTTTTTGGGTGTGGTTTAACTTACAAAATTCATGGATTTTTCTCTCCTGATAATTTTGCACAAATATATAGCAGTGTAAAATGATGTAATTTTTTTTCTCTCTGCTTTCTATCAGTTGTGGATAAGTTGAATTTCACCAAATTTATTTGAATTTAGAAGGGTAGATGAAGTGTCGTGAGTGAAGTAAATTTGAGAATGCGACAACTAAGAACTGTAGGTGACAACTTCTATCTGATTACAACAAAATGACAATTATAAGTTTACGAAGAGAACATGTCATGCTACCAAATAATTAAGAAAAAAGTTGCTAAGCAGATAGGGAATTACTCATACATCTGATTAAAAGTGATGGCAACAAAAATATCTCTGCAAATAAGAAAGTTAGGAGAATCAGATAGCATAATCAGAATAAAATGTAGTCACCGGGACAAATCAATCAATATCAATCACAGCCATTTATATATGTTGAAGTTAGCTTAGAAATCTTCCATGTGGACGGGGACTCCAGAAGAATGTATTTAGGCAGTCAGTCTTTTTCCATTTATTATCCTGATGACTAAGGAAACTCTCCCTACATTAAAATCAGATCCCTTATTTCCTTCCGAACGCGTCTTTTGGCACACGCTCAAAAATTTGACTAGTTAACCTTCCTCTGGCTCTTCGTATTTACATACTTATATACGTATAATTAGAGGTAATGTAAAAAGATTACTTGCCTTCTTTAAATTGAATTAGTAAGCAAGCTGTCTACAGCCTATGAGATGTCATGTGTTGGTTCTTGATATTTTAATCCACTGTCTAAATTACAGTGTTTAACTTAATTTTCAGATCAGTTGACTCGACCGAATTCTGCACCTGATCGTTCTATTGTCATTCCATCTCCAGTAAATGCATTTCACTCTGATAAATTACATAAATTTTCAACTACTGATAAATGCGTTAACAATGAAAAGTCGGTAAGTGATACTAAACGGTTTGTATATTTAAGCATTTGTTTAAGAGATATTACTGTTTTGTTGTTATTGTGTTCATTGAACAATTGGGTTACAATTCTCTCATTGTTATTCCAGGAAATATCTTTAGTAGACGGCCAACCATATTCATGTTCTTTAGAAAGACAAGTTATTTCATTCATGGAAAAATTCAAAGCTTCACTTTATTTTTGAGGGTAGTGCTGTTGATGTTGTTTTAAAAAAAATTGCAAAAGCTTTGCACTTAAACTACTCATCTCAGAGGGTATAAAACATTCATCCGGACTGCATATTTTCCTTCTTACTTCATGATGTAACTTTCTGTTTTAATCTAAAAATATTGTAAAGAATAGTTTTGGATATTTGAATGTTTAATTTCTCGTTATATCTTTAAAACATGTTCATAGATTCATTTCTCATGTACAGTTCTTCAAAAGCATATCAGTAAATCTAATAAATTATGCAAATGTGTCTCATCATGTATTTTATTTTGTGGTCAAACCTCTTGAGAGTTTAAAGTAACATAAACAACAGTTATTGTCATTTCTTTTCTCAATACTTTATGTGTACACATTAAATCTTTTTTGATGCAATATATTGGAGGAAATCAACAGCAGTTCTTCACTAACATTGAATTCATAAACTATATTATACAGTCTCGTTCTGTGTTTTGAAGTTCATCTAGAGGTTAGATGGATTTTGCACGGTAGAGTTACTAGTCCAACGTCCAACCTTCCTTCTTCTTCCGGGCTTAGGACCGGTTAGTAGACTAGGCGACGAACCAACCAAAAAACTGTTACTCAACAAATATGCATAAGGAAATGGATTGGATATACACTTATGAAACCACTAAGTGACATTACGTGTCATACATACCTTTGAGTAGACCCCGAAAAGGAAACGATGAGTTCGTCATGTAATGGTGACATGAAGGAGATCGTGTAAGGAGAATATCAAAACCAGTGGGAAATCGTGGGACCAAGTAGAAATGACTACAGAGGATAGGGTGAAATAGCGATGTGCTACTGATGAAGCTGTATGTTCCACTGGGAACTCAGGGGAATAGAAATAATATGGTTTTATCCAATAATGATGTGAATAATATTCTGGCTTCTAGGACTAATAAGAGTATTGGCTTTATTCTGATCTCCGATTATTATTATTATTGTTCTTTTGCTTCGCATTTATCTATCTTAACACTGTGTAACATTTCAATCTCAAATGCCTATCCCCATCCTCTATCACAGACGCATGTATACACACCACACTTACATCTAATTTAAATATTCCCATTATGATAATTAAAGAAAACAGTTTATTAAACAAATACGTGTTTTCAGTAATTCCTTATCAAACTTTACACTTACATAATGAAATTATTCAGTATACACATTTGATATCATTGTGGGTCGATGGAATCAAAGTTCAAGTTTATGAATTGGTGGATGATAATGAAAGTTATTCAGCGAAGATAATCTTTTCAAGCAATTTATTATCATGCTGTACAATCGTACATATACATATGTATATATCATTGCGATAATTGTACAACATGATAATAAATTCGTTAAAAAAAGAGTCTCTTTGTTGAATTACTTGTTTTCATTCTCTACATATCCTAATGAGAATTTTTCATGCACAATCAAAGTGATCATAATGATAGTAACAACAATGAATCGGAAAATGAACAAGAGAATTAGCTATGTCAGATTGTAAAATAAAGCGAACAGAAGAAGGTAAAATGCACACTAGCATTTATAAAAAGCCAGCGCATTCTAATAGGCATTTAGACTTTAATTCATCTACTCCGTTGTCTGTAAAAGCTGGATTGGTTAAGTGTTTAACATACCGAGTAATAGCACTAAGTAGTACAACAAAAAGCTAAATGATGAAATGAAACAGATAGAAGAGGTGTTGGTGTTAAATAACTATGCGATAAAATTCAGTAGGAATATCAAAAAAGGTCAAAGGAAAATAAAAATAATGGTGAAATGAATAATGATAACATAAATAAGAAAGAATACAACACATCTACAGTAGTTTTACCATATAAGAAGGAGGCATCTAAGACCCTACGTAGGAATTAGGGAAGCATACAAACCCACAAACTCACTCAGGTAGGACAAGCTCTGAAAGCTCAAGGACCCATTGAACCTAATTAAACAAAATAATATAATTTACAAAATACTTTGCAATGACTGTGAGTGAGGTCAGTTACATAGGTCACACTAGTAGTTCAAGGGTAGTGAGATTATCAGAACATAAGAGTTTAACTAAGGTTAGAATGATTGATCTCACGAAGATTAGTGATTTAGAAAAGAACTCAGCAATCGCACTACATGCATTAACAAACAACCACACAATAGGTTGGGAGAGGGTAAAAATTCTAGAAAGGGATATAGATAGGTGCAAACAGAGATTGGTTACTGAGTCCCTGGTTCATTGAGTCTTCACGCAATACATGCAACAGAAGTGACTCAAAGCAAATACCAGAGATATGCAAGATATTATTACGAGTCAAATCAGAGGATAATAAATAATGTTAAAATGTATTCGATTCACACTATAACACTGCAACAAGTTATTTATTTTACTATCAAAACATTTTATTTCCCATCTTATTGTATTTTACTGATAACACTAATGTTATTTCCGAATGTACTTTATCTTACACTGATTTTATTCAAATATCTAATCAATTTTATTCATGAATATAAACGAAGCAAGAAAGTTATGTGAGTGAGTATCTTGATATGATTATGAACAGTAATAATTTGTGCTCGAAACGTGGTCATCACTGTGTGATTTTATCAAAATAAAATTTTGTCCATAATGGAATCCATGCAAATGATTATGTTATTATTTGGGTAGACAATCATTGTGAACATGTAAGCATAATATACATATATTTGTAGGGTGCGTCGATTGCACAGTGGTTAGGACTCTCGCCGACCATGCACATGGTCCGAGGTTCGATCCCTGCCGACGCACACCTGTTATCTATGGTCGGCCTGCAAAATTTGGGCTACCGATATCACATTCTGAAAATTCCATACTTGTACCAAAAATACGGTGTGGAGTCAAGCTGTAATAAAAAATAAATAAATAAGGGTAAAAAAGAAAAATAACTGTCATATCATTACAATTAGCTAATAGAGTATTCAGTTTGATAATAAATTGTGAAACTATGATTAAAATATACAATTGTAACAAAGCATAATGATGATAATAAAAATAATAGTACAAATAAAGAAAATATTTATAGTTATCCTGTGTCATGGGGATATAAAACTATTCTAATTGTTATTCAAGTATTGGTATTCTGATTGTATCTAGGTTAAAGGTAAAGGTTATAGAAGAGACAGGAACTAGATAAACTTTCTCTGAATACTTTGATTAGACTGAGAAATTTCTGATAGCAACTACTTCAGCTATGCTTTACAATCAGTGACGTGTAAACTTGGTAGAATCGACTTGACACATTGTATTTCCATTAATCTTATGTGTTCCTTATTCATTACGACGACAAATGTTCATCTATATTTCATAATTGATACAGAAATTGGTTTCATCTCGTAGATATTTTAATCATTCTCTTAGTTTTATTAATATAAGCTGGGGTTCGAATCAAATTGTTAGCAGACAGATTTTTTATATTTAGTCACTTGACCTCGAATTTAACAATGACCTATGAATTCTAGCTTCTATCAATTCGTGATGTAGCGTTAACTCCAACCAACCCTTTTGATGAGCAGATACTTCAGCTTGACACGGTGGACACTACCGGCCACAACTTTTCAGTACACCTTCAGAACATCCATCCAGTAACTAATCAGTCGGCTGGAGACTACTATTTAGATTATGGATTTTTGTAAAGATTTAAATTATTATCAGAAGTAAGCATCATGAGTCAGTGAATACCCATCCAAGCGGGTGAATATAAAAATCTATTTACAAACAACTTTATTCAGATTTCCAGTTTATATAAATAAAATTAAGAGTATCACTGAAATGACTGAAAGATGAAACCAATTCCTCTACAAACTGTGAAATATAGGTGAACATTAGCCACTCTAGGGGATACGGAAAATAGGATTAATAAAAATACAGCTCTCATCATTCTATACAATATGCTGGCTCGATTCTACTTCGATTGCTAAGGATAGGTACGTAAGTTAGTTGCCACCAACATTTTTCAGAATAATCAAAGGGTTCAAAAACAGTTTGTCGAATTCCCCTCCTTTCCATAGACTTTAGACCAAGTAGCGGAATGGCCCACCAGCTTGACTTCATAACCTGAAGGTCCCGGATTCGACTCCTGGTGGGGTCGTGGGTGCGTACTATTAAAGAGCTCTCACCTAGGACGAAACAGCTGCCCAGTGCTTCCTGGTTTCTAGTGTTTTCTAACTGATGGATTGGTTCTTGGACAAATCTACACTGAAAATAATAACCCGAATCCCTACAAATTCCCATAAACTAAAGCTTTTTATATCCCATAGCGTGTATTATTCGCCTAATCACAGAGTATTATTGACATTAAGTAAACATACATGTTTATTACTTACAGTAGACTAGTCGAGCAAAAAAAAACTGTTGAGTGCATTACATTTCGACTACTACTTGTTTCGATTAGGCGTTACCAAAATTTATTGTCAGGTGTGTTTCGCTATGGTTCTCCTTTGTCTAAAAATAAAACTAACCTATTGGTTGGAAAGAAAATCTGTCATGTGTTTACTAATATACGAATAAAAATACTGCAATCACCTATTCGTGAATGCATATATATATATATATGCTTTTATTACTCTACCTATTTATCTGAATGTATTACTTATTCTTCTCAATTGTACTTAGGGTGTGTTAAGCTATTCCTTTTTCTCTTGACTTTCTCGATTGTGAGTAATCGTTTTTTTTTTTTTGAAAAATATATTTATCAATTTTATTATCTGTTTTTTGTGAGAATATACATATACTACTTGCTTATATATATATATATATATATATACTTATAATTGTGGTAGCCTATCGGAATTAAATTTCCACTTACAATTATTTTCATTGGTCTCTTTTACCCCCGTTATTGTATTCAATTCATATTCGAATTGCCTAGCCTGAATTATTGATGAAGAAGAAAGAAAACGTGGAATTAATAGCCGAGAAGGTGGCAAAAGTGAAGGCGACAGAGTCGAAGTAAAGGAAATCAGAAAATCATCACAGACAAAAGATAAACCATCATATGAACCATTTAAACATTTGGATATAAAACAAGTTCAACTGGCATTATCAAAGCTACAGGTAGGTTAGAGTTAATTTCTTTTCTTATTTTCAAAAATATTTATATATATATTATTGAGTGTATTATATTTTTTATACTTGGGTTCGATAATTCAATGTCATTTTCGGACTTTAATAATTATAGGACATGTTAAAGTTTACTGATTGATTAAAAGTCTCGAGGTTTTAGAAATGTGATTTAATGCACACATGCTTTTTTTTAATATTTGCTTATTTAATGGAATAATTGTTAGTTGGAAAAGTTCAGGGATATGCTTTCTTTTACTCAATACTACCTACCACTTCTTTCTCGAACAATATTTACTCTATTTGAATATTATTGTTGTTAACAACTTAGCAGTTAACAGGCGCATAATAAATTGGAACCTTCTTGGTTCTTACTTCGAGTAATACTCCTAATCTCATCGACTTGGACTTTGGAACTCTTAAGAACACCATAGTTGTAGACACAAATTTATTCCTACTTTCCAGTACTTATGGAAATGGAAGAAGTAATCAGTGAAATCATCTTTCTTTCATTGATTTTTTTTGTCTGTGAATACATGATAAGTCCTTTTTAACTTGATAAAAAGTAGCAACAGTTTACCTAATGGTAGAATAACTTCATTTCATTGTGAAAGTAACAGTAATACTTATAGCACTATGTAAAAAATGGTGAACATCATTGGTTGATAACTAACTAAGTAGGTCTTAAAAACATTTCATAATGCATCACTGTGATGTATACCCCTAGTTTTGCTTAGTTTTTGCAGTTATCGTGTACTCATGAAGCCTTTTATCGAGACTGGACTCATTAATTTCTAAATCTTTACATGTATGTATAAATTTACCACTTGTCAACTCCATTAAAATCCTATATAATATTCGGCATCTCTGTCCAATTAAATTTTAGATTTTCCCATCGGTTGATTGAACTTAACTGCTCGTCTCAGGTTGGCATGTCAACTTCTTGTGCAAATGCTTCAACGATGTCTGGGCATTTAGTTAGAATTTAACTGGTGGATGGTGACTAGCAGTGGAATCCAGGATGCACATTTCGTCCTATTTGAGACCGAGCATTTCGCTCCAATCAATCTACGGGAAAATCTAAAATTCAATTAAAATTAATATGACCCGTTGCATAAGAGGTGGCTCTCGTGGCTCAAGTAGTCTAGTGGATTACTCCTTGACATTTGAAACTATGGGCGCTGGGTTCGAACCTCAGCGGGAAAATCATCACTCACTGAGAAATGCAGGTACATCCAGATGACTAGTCTCAAATAGGACGCAATGCGCATCCTGGATTCCACTGCTAGTCACCATCGATCAATTAAATCGCTGTCCAATGTTTCCACTGTTGTTTTAGACCGTAGGAACTCTCTTTTCGGCGGTCCATCTTAACTCCTGTTTCTGCGTGCTGGTATTTATATAGTTTTATTTTTGTGGTTGGCGGTTAGAGTAGTTTCCGTTAGCTCATTGGATCCTTATTGCTGGCAGACTACTAAGTCCTATTGCAGGTTATATCACACTAAACATATATCAGCTAAACGTATATTCTCATATTAAATCTAAAATTTGTAAAATAATATATATATATATTCTGTTTTCAGTCTAATATGTAATATCATACACTTAAGGGTATAATTAAATCCGTCTTTATTGATTTGAATATTCACTTGAAATGTTAGTAATTGAAAACTGTCAATTAACTGCTATTAGGAAAATGGGTATACACAATATTCTAGTGTATTTGTAAATCCATTAACTTTGTAGAGAAAAATAAAAAACTTTCACATTTCATTATATTTCATCCCCTTATTTTATGTCTTTATGTCATGAATTCAGCGTCGGTGGTTCATTGGTGGAGAATACTCACCAACCACATGAGTTGTCCGGGATTCGATCCCTAGACTTCGCTTAGCCGGTAGTAAGACTGATAAAAAGGGAAGATTGTTGGTCGTAAGGTTAAACAGTCCAACCCCGTAAAAAATAATCACCATTGCTATATTAGAACTTCAAAACTCAAGTTCTCATTGATGCCCTATGTTCCGCTCGGAACGCACAGGAATAAAATAATAACTACCTAGATAAAATCACGAATTAAAATCATCATAAAATGACCGGAGACTTCTGTTGCATTGTTTAACCGTAGTTTTTTTACAATGTAATCGGTTCCATGACTTGTTTTAGGTCTTGTAGTCTAGAATTGTTTGAATTTTTCCTTAGGGTACAGCAGGTCGAAGAAAAAGACATTACGAAGTAGTCGCGCTATGTCGTGTTAGAATTCAAGAACCATTGGATCGGTTCCCAGTGGCTCAATGGTATACGAGCTCACCTTGTAACCAGAAGGTCCTGGGCTCGAACTCTGGTGGGTGCGTACTGATGAAGATTGTCAAACTAGGACGAAACAGCTGGCTGTCCAGTACTCCCAGGTTTTCCAATGGTTCTCTCACTGATGTCAGCTCATGATTAAATCCTCCATGCAGTTTTTTCTTAAATTGAATTTTTCACCAATCAACTCATTAGAGTCTATGGAATTAATGCATGTCTTTGTCTCTTGGGTTAGTTGAAGAAGTTATTTCTAGTCGGTGGATTATATCGACGTCTAAGAAACTAAAATATTGGAAATCACTTGAAAGTATTTAAAAAAACAAAAAAAAAACCTTTAGGTCATACGGGGTCAAGCTAAAAATAAACAAACAAACAAATTTGTTAGATCTATTTAAAAAAAAAAAGAAGGATGGCTAAAAAGGTGTTTCACTATATTTACTACTGAAAAAAGTATTCAACTTGAGTAAAATTAAGCCATTTACATTTGTAGAGGCTTTAAATAAATAAATAAATGCGCTGACTATAATGAACTGTAAGGTCATTAGGCGTAGAATAGAATATTAGAATGAATGAAGATTATTATTAAAGTATGTTATGAATCATGGATTCAAAATGATCAACGTAATTAACCTTTAAAAGTGTGTCGGACACACCACACCTTTACTAGTTGAAAATATCATTAGTGTCAATTTGTGTGAATAGCTTCTCAAATGTGAATTACGGATTGCTAAGAAAGCAAAATGAAGTGATGAAACATAGTCACTACTCATTTTTATTGCATACGACTTTGAAGTACTGAGAAAAACTTATATTCACAAGTTGATCTGTATATTGTTAGATAGTTAGAGATGTGCATAATGAGGTCCTGGACATAGGTTTCGTGTTTATTGACAATCGCCAGTATGTCATTATCTGAAACTGTACAGAAACTGATGTCCCCTCGGATATTCGAAACCTTATCGTCTAGTGATGCAGTCAGAGGCGTTACTACTAAACTATTTTATCCACCGTTGATGAGTACCAATAAGCACGAAACCTAGGTCTACGATATCTCACTGATTACTTTCTAATACCTAAGATCAATTCAAACTGCACCATATTGGTGGGTCTCTCTAGCTTGATGAGTGTGATAGTATTCAATCAGGACCAAGACTTATGGCTAGACACATGACACTGATTACACCTCACTGACTAATCAATATAAACACTGCAGTCCTATAGGAGTTCAGTCGCGGCACCTAATAACTCAGTAGTAACGTCTTTGACTCGAAAATTGAATAAAATCGTATCTCAAGATTATAGATATGCCTTGCTGACGAATATGAACACTTATAAAACTTAGATCCTCGTCCTCCTGCTAATCGCCTTCTATCATTTAATAATAGTATTCATTAGTTACAATTAACAGGTTTCTTTGTGACATAATAATACATTTTAAAAGCGATTTAATATAACAACACATGAACATTGGATCTTGTCGAGTCTTGCGATCGTCATTTATTTTCTGTCTACAGTTATAATTACACGACCTGTTCCTTCCCTTTAATTCTTTCCTATTGATCCAAGAAGAGACTAAGCAGAATTAAGTAACAAATTGTATTGATATAATTTGTAAATACATGTTACTCATTTGCCATGTGATCATTTATCCGCTTTTTCTTTCTTTCTTCTTTTTTTCCTTCACGTTCCCCAGTGGGACATAGGGCTTCAAGCTAGTGGCTTGAAGTTTCTGTAGCAGTGTTTATTTTACAGGATGGGGTTGCTAGCCTCATGCCCAACCTTTCCTCTTTACCAGCAATATTTCTGGCTTGGCGAGGTAAAGGAGTGCGTCCAGTGGCCGGGGATCGAACCCCGGACCATGTGCATGGTCTGTGAGCGTCCTAACCATTATGCCACCGACGCACGTTATCCGCTTTTTAATGAATTGCAATTATTAAATGAGTGTTGAGAATACTATTTTGTCCGTCTGTACTTAGGAAGGTGGCTAGGTCTATAAACACTTGACTTACTAGTTGAAATTCATTAGACCGATAAGCCGCTTATCAAATGCGGTTACATAAAAAGTTATGAATGGGCACTGAAAAAGAGCTATGAATTGATTGACAGCGGTGTTCTGATTGTTCACGTTAACAAAATTATCTAGAAAATAAAGTTTTGGTTAAGAAGTTTTCAAAAACTGCGTTATTTAAAATCAAGCGTGATTATTATCTGCACATAGAGACGTTATGAATATGGAGAAGAGAAAAGTTAAACAGGATGCAGGGTTTGCTTGGAAGTTCAAAGTAATAGCTATTACATTAAAAGATGCTTTTCGGAAAGTATTTGTCTACCACTCTAGGGCACTTTATAATTGGTTAAAGTTTGTTTTAGAGAAAAGTTTATAAGGGAATATAAGTAATATAATTGACTATACAAAATTAAAATCAATGCTTCCAAGTTATAAAAACTACGAATATAGGAAACTGTTGTGTCGTTTATGCGTCAGACAGTGGGAAACGAGAAGACAGGGATATCCTGGACCAACCTGAAGAACCTAGAAGACCTGGATTTTGCGCCTCGATGATTTTTGTTTGATGTCATACAAAATCGAAGACTTACAAGCGAAAACCAACAAGCAGCCGGCGAAGACAGGACTCCATGTGAACATAGACAAGACGGAGGTGATGAAAATAATCAACCAACAACAGCAA